GAGTAAATTATTTTATATTGGGTAATTTATTTCTCAAACCTATGTTTTATGGAAGAGACAAAATATTTCTGATAAACTAATATTTTATCAAAAGGTAAATGGTGAATTAATATGCATTTAGAATCATTGAGAAGGGGTTATATCCACAGGGACAAGCTCACCTTTAACTTACAATAACATTTCTCTGCTATGGACTGATGAGTATATGATTCTTGCATGTTCAATGACTAACACAAACCTTCAAAATGATAATGTGCATGTGTCAGGAAGGCTCCCAAATCATTCTGAGGGGCCTATCCTATTTTTGTAATTAAATGATAATGTGCTAATCCATTACTTTGAGTTGTCTTCACTCAGAAAAACATCCCTATCAGGTGTTAACCCAATAACTAGGACAGCTCTCAAGGCCAAGGGTCAGAGAGAGAGGGTCACACTCTCCGGGTGCAGAGAGCACCCCCAGCCACGTGCAAGGAAGCACAAGGTCGTTCGAGATGGGACGCTTCTCTTCACCTTTCTGATAAGAGGGGATGCTTCTCTTCACCTTTCTGATAAGATGGGATGCTTCTCTTCACCTTTCTGATGAGAGGGGATGCTTCTCTTCACCTTTCTGATAAGAGGGGGTTCTTCTCTTCATCTTTCTGCTCGGTGGGCTCTAGCAGACAACCCTGCAGGACGAGCGAGGGCTTCAGAGGCTTCTATAATACAATGTTCCATGTTTCTTGGAGGAGTTTGATGTCTTCCTAACCTCTCCCATCACGGGGGGGACACCTGGATGCATCAGGAATACGCAGTTGTACTCAAGCAGATAGCAGAAGGAATACCGTCAGCTACAGTGCTCACTGAATGAGCCACACAAAAGCAGAGCAATTGGGGGGTTGAAATATGGCGCTCTGATGAAGAAGAGTTTGAGCCAATCAGCATCTCAGTGCTAATCTACAGTATCAGGATACCTTTACACACCAGACACTCGGTGTCATAAAGGGAGGAGGAGAACGAGTCAGGAAGCCTGACGGACATGTTCTTCCAGCTCTCGTACAAAGATGAACTTTGAATTGAATGACCAGATGTTTAAAGATGTACAATTAATGATTGTTTTTTATATTTCCAATGACCAGACATGTGTTAAATAGTGGTGATAAATATATTTAGTCAGATCAGATTAGATTTTCACACTAAACAAAATTAATAAATAAATATTCTCAGATTATAAGGTATTGAATAATAAGATATTTCTAATATTATAACAGATAATGTTAATATCCTTAATCATCCAGCAATCAGGCTTAACAACACTACTCTGTAATGTATTACCCATGCACAGACAGACATAAAATGATGTTTCAAGTACTAGATTAATTTCAGTTTTGGCCCAAAACAAATATTTATAATAATTCATATAACAATTATGTAGCATATTTGATCCTCAAATTAGAGAATTATAATTTAAAGAAATTGATATTCTATATTCAACATTAGATAAACACAGAAGAACCCTTTCCAAGTACCATAAGTAGATGTTCAGGTAAGTATGGCTAATAAGAATAATTGATAGACTTAATTTGGTACAGATCAGTTGTAGCATTTACAAATGTATGAATTAAAGTTTTAAGAATGTTTAATTTTTCCCTTTCAGGTTGTTACACTACACGACAAATATCTGACTTTTCCTTTTCAGATTTTGAACAATGTATTTGATTAAAATGAATGTATTGATTTTACTAAGACTAAGTGCCTTACTCTTGACTAAAGCGTAATGAAGTAAACGTAAAGTAATCCTAAAATTGAGGACACTGCAACTTTGCCGATTACAGATTGATCAAATCACCACTGTGAATTTATGCCTTAGCTGGATCTCTTATGATCCTAAGTTTTAAATGCTTTTGACTAGTGATTGCCTTAAAGCAAATCTTTAAGCTGTTTCTGGTTTTGATTTTATAGTTTGATAAATGACATTAACTAATGGTTTAAATGATAAAAGATATTAGTTTAAAACAAATATTTTGCTATTATGTATCTGTGTTTTATGTGTGTTCATTATTATGCTTTTGACAAAAGATGCTCCAAACACTGATGAGAGATAATTTTTCCTATTATGATTGGCTGTATCAATCATTGTGATTGAATGTTTCAATCTTATTCTACTTTGTGATGTAATTGAATGTAAGGTGAGACCACACTCGAATCTGAAGACGCCTATTGATTTAAGTATTGACCAGAATTATTAGACTAATGTTTTAAGGTTATCAAAAATGATAAAAAGAGAGGAACTGTTAAGGAATAATTCTTCTAGATATCTAACCTTTTACTCTGACATATGTTATCTCCTCTAAGGAAAGGCCTTGGTGCCATATGTGTTGTTGTCCCCAGTGTGAGACCGGTCAACTTGACTGGCACGAAGGGTAATTGTTGTGAGAACACTGAAGCACTTCTTTATCGGTGTTTGTGGGCTCTCGGATGTGAAATCCTTGAGGCCATGAGCGTTGGACGCAGATGATTCAGTGTTTAGTCTACTCCTTCAGAGATGTTGATTTCTCTCTGTGAACCTGTTAAAAGGTCTAGCATAGAGAGAGGTTCTTCAGAATTGACGTGGCAACTCTACCGTGTGGTCAGAACCTCTGACTCTTTGATTTGTGATGTGAATCCTCCGGCCGAATACTCTGAATAAACCCATCAGTGTTTGACATCAAAGCTCCAACTCTCACCGTGTCTCCTTCCTGAGTCGGTGACTCCATGCATTGCTACACAGAAGTTTCCTCCACACTTCCCATTATGGACACAAGCGATTTTCACCCATTTATTAATTACATGTTTTACATTTGTACACACCAATTTGTTTCCTATCCCCTAAACCTCCAGGGCTGTACACAGTTTAATACTGTCAACTTCTAATTTTGGGAAAAACGAAAACGTCTTTTAAAACTACAATTCCCAGTAGAGACGCTATAGAACATGTTGCGAAACACAATAGCCAGCATTTGTAGTTCTGGGGGGGCGTTCGAGTCCAGTTTTGGAAAGTCTGCCGTGGTTTCGTTCCATTTCAAAGAGCTGTTTGGCGCTCGGCGTAACCTTGGCGCACTGCCACTCCAACATCCAATCCCAGAGCTTGAAGATTAATCACGGGGTTTGTCAACAGGACTGTAGTCCCAAACGATAGCTGGGGATTATGGGTAGTGTAGTGTCTTCGGCCATCCTAAACTCTGATTCTTTTTTCGGATTTCATATCGCATTAACACCATATCCCGACGTGCATTGCGGCTAAAACATCCAATCAGCGAGCTGATGATCTTTCCTACGTCACTTTACAGCCCTGCCCACTTTTGGGGAAACCAGCTGTCATTTGAACGGCGAGCAAGCCTGAAGCCACAGAGCTCTTCTGTTGTATACTGTCCTTTCTTCTTAGAGGAAGTACAGAAACACGTAACTCTGGATTTGTTTTAATGTTTGAGGTGCAATAAACGACACAGCAGCTTTTTGGCATGTTAAAACTATTATTTTCTGCCTCGCAGCTGGCGAAATTACAGCCTCGCCTACTGATTTTAATTTAACCATAGGATATCAAGCCCGATCGTCGATTTCAAATGTGTGCTCTAAAATGATATTAATAAATGACTATTATCATTATTATAAGCTAGAAAAGAAATGTCAAAGATAGGTAGAAAGCAAACGTATTTAAGATATGTTCAGAACAAACGTAACGTGGGACAAAATACGTTTCTTGTTAAACGTAATTGAGAATGCTGTATGAAACGACTACAAACAATATTGTGATTATTAACCATTAACCAGCATAATAACGGATTTGGTCAACTGAAAAGTCAGCCGCCAGCCAGCGCGAAAATAAGTTTGCTCTAAAATGATATTAATAAATTACTATTATCATTATTATAAGCTAGAAAAGAAATGGCAAATATAGGTAGAAAGCAAACGTATTTGAGATACGTTCATAACAAACGTCATATGAGAGAAAATAGGTTTCTAGAAGATATGTAGAAAATAAACGTATTTAAGATACGTTCATAACAAACGTCATGTGGGAGAAAATAGGTTTCTAGAAGATATGTAGAAAATAAACGTATTTAAGATATGTTCATAACAAACGTAACGTGGAAGGAAATACGTTTCTTGCGAAACGTATTTGAGAATGCAGTTTAGTTTTGTGGGAACGTAATTTCTAGGAGACAGGGTTGCAGCGTTGGGTTTCTAAAGGCTAACCGCTAGGCTAACATCGTAGCTGCTGCATGAACACTCAAAATGACGTCCTCTAAACTCGGCCTAACTACAGCGGAGATGTCATTGTTTACATGTTACGGCTAAATGTGTTCCCCGTGTGTTTCCACTGTAGCTCCTCCCCCTCCAGGTGAGCTGCACCTGGAGGGGGAGGAGCTAACGTTCAGCAGCAGAAGAGGGAAGAGCAGTTTGCTGACTGTCCTTTATTTATTTGTATTCTAACCTTTTATGCTCTTAACCTTTTTTATATTACCATATTTTATTCAATATGCTCCTTAGATAACTTTTTATTTTATTTGTTTTATTATGTTCTCCTCATAGCATTGTGAAGCACCTTGAGATGACGCTGTTTTTAAAGTGTGCTATATAAATGAGATGTATTATTATTAAGAGGCCTCTGTGTTTCTGCCGCTCAGCCTGAGATGTTTGTTCACTTGTTTCGTGGAAATAACTCCAATGGATTTGATTATTTTAAAAGTGTCTTCTGTGTTGTATCTGGGTCAATGGTGGATGTGTGTGTTAGCCCCATAGGGCCACCTAAGGGTGGGGTGTAACAGGACATCAGTCTATAGGTCAGACTATATTAGAACAAATAAGAACATTTGGTTGGAAGAGATGCAGAAGGGTACAAAACACTAACAATTAAATAATACATATAAACAAATATATTTAGTTAATTCACGCTGTCTGCATCGTTGCTGTTACCAGGTCAGGTTTATGAATGTTAATGCTCATTAATAATAAGTGTTGGCATAGCAACACGATGCTCTTACCACTGATTGTGACCTTCACTCCTGGTTGGCCAGTAAAACCTCCACTCCTGGGATTAGTTTCCACTCTGAAGCGAAGAGTTGCATCGTCTTCCTCCTGTAAACCTGAGATCTGTAGAGAGCAGTCTCCCTCCTCGTCTCCCAGGTATCTGTAGCGAGGGTTGTTCCTCTCTGATTCACTGTTGTACACAGACGGAGTTGAGCCGTGACAAATACGATGGTCCTGGCACCAGACGACTCTCTGGATCTCTATCAGAACTTCTCTTCCATCTTTATCCTTCACAGACTTCAGTGTTGAGAAGGTGCAGGGGAGGGTGACCTTTGACCCTTTCACAGCACAAACCGGACCTGGATAGTTCACACGTTGACCCAAAGCACCTGGAGACACACCTAGTTGCAGAACAAGTAAAACATACTTCAGTTTCTACTCTCTGATAGTGAAGGCTTTAGAGATGTGTGATTTGATCTCATGTCAACAGGACGACAGCACCGGAGAAACAGACGAGTGTTTGGACCGAGAGCCGGTTGGGTTGTCGGCTAAACAGTGTGGTAGAAATACAAATGATGACCGGAGCTCACGATGTTTGTCGTATTATCATTCAGAGCCTCACAGTCCCATACCAGAAATAGTGATGCCCATAAATTAGATGATGACATCCTAAAATCAAGATGACAAAGACCAAAAAACAATATGGTGTCGGCTGTATAGGGTGTGAAGTTTCTGAATGAAAAGCCCAAGGCGTACACAGACCTGATTCTAACTCTCAGTGTCTCCTCACAGGGACACTGAGGTCTTTCAGCACTGCTGTTGTGTTTCTAGGTCAGAACAAAGAACCTGAAGGATGTGTCTGTGTCCTGTGAGGTGACATACACTGTACATGCATGCAGGACCAAATACATATACATAAAAGGAAGTGTATTAACATAATGTTGAGCAGCAGACGCACACAGGGAAGTGAGAGCGTGAAGGAAAGATACGTTTAGATCAGGGGTGTCAAACTCAATTTCATCGTGGGCCACATTAGCATTATGCTTGCACTCAAAGGGCCTGTTGTAACTATATAAATATACATATATAAATACATAATATATATGAAATAATGTAATATACAATATTGCCTCTGCATTGGATTATTATCGGATAGGGTAATAACTTCATAATTAACTACGTCTGAAAGCAGAAGTCTAGGGCAAATAATTGCAAGTCTCTTCAGTGCGCATGTCACTAAATGAGATGCATTGTGGGACATGTAGTTTATGGGCAACGTGCTTCTGTAAAATAAAATAAGATGGACCTTTATTAATCCCGTGGGGAAATTCAGTAGTTTAACAGCAACAGGGTGAGATTGAAAAACAGGACAGCACAGATTCACACAGATTAATACAATTAAGGATAAATCAAAGATAACAAAAAAAAATGATAAATAACTATAAAATAAGAAATGAATTAAAATGAACATATATAGATTTACTGTAAAGTAGCTTGTAACCGTATAATAAACGTATTATATTCTTTGCAAGCTCTTGCGGGCCACATAAAATGAAGTCGCGGGCCGGATTTGGCCCCCGGGCCTTGAGTTTGACACCCCTGGTTTAGATGAAGAAGTTCTCTGGTTATTAACTGCAGGAACAATCCTTTACTCAGAATGTCTCTTCATTACATTACATTATTACTTGTTATTTGTAAGTCGCTTTTATCCAAAGCGACTTATATACTCAATACTGTGGACAATCCCCACAGGAGCAATTTGGGGTGAAGTGTCTCAGGGACACAACGACATGCTGACTGCAGTGGGGTTTGAACCTGTGACCCCCTGATCCCTACTTACAACATCACAAGTACTCAGTTACTCAACTGCCAAATACATGTGTCTGAATTCGACCGACAGAGGAGGCAAATATTAATTCTGATAAGATTTGAATTTCTGTCGTTGAATTTTCATTTGACCAAAAAATAAAACAGATTTTAGTTTTTTGATTTGATTTATTTGTTTTTTTAACCAGTTAAAGGACAAGCTGAAAGCAGGTATCACTGAATGGGAGTACAGGGCACAGGCCCAAAGTATGCACTATGGGCCTGTGCCCTGTACTCCCATTCAGTGGACTACAACAAGACCAACAAGGACTACAACAAGACCAACAAGGACTACAACAAGACCAACAAGGACTACAACAAGACCAAGAAGGACTACAACAAGACCAAGAAGGACTACAACAAGACCAAGAAGGACTACAACAAGACCAAGAAGGACTACAACAAGACCAAGAAGGACTACAACAAGACCAAGAAGGACTACAACAAGACCAACAAGGACTACAACAAGACCAACAAGGACTACAACAAGACCAAGAAGGACTACAACAAGACCAAGAAGGACTACAACAAGACCAAGAAGGACTACAACAAGACCAACAAGGACTACAACAAGACCAACAAGGACTACAACAAGACCAACAAGGACTACAACAAGACCAACAAGGACTACAACAAGACCAACAAGGACTACAACAAGACCAACAAGGACTACAACAAGACAAAGGACACAACAGACCAACAAGGACTACAACAAGACCAACAAGGACTACAACAAGACCAACAAGGACTACAACAAGACCAACAAGGACTACAACAAGACCAACAAGGACTACAACAAGACCAACAAGGACTACAACAAGACCAACAAGGACTACAACAAGACCAACAAGGACTACAACAAGACCAACAAGGACTACAACAAGACCAACAAGGACTACAACAAGACCAACAAGGACTACAACAAGACCAACAAGGACTACAACAAGACCAACAAGGACTACAACAAGACCAACAAGGACTACAACAAGACCAACAAGGACTACAACAAGACCAACAAGGACTACAACAAGACCAAGAAGGACTACAACAAGACCAACAAGGACTACAACAAGACCAACAAGGACTACAACAAGACCAACAAGGACTACAACAAGACCAAGAAGGACTACAACAAGACCAACAAGGACTACAACAAGACCAACAAGGACTACAACAAGACCAAGAAGGACTACAACAAGACCAAGAAGGACTACAACAAGACCAACAAGGACTACAACAAGACCAACAAGGACTACAACAAGACCAACAAGGACTACAACAAGACCAACAAGGACTACAACAAGACCAACAAGGACTACAACAAGACCAACAAGGACTACAACAAGACCAACAAGGACTACAACAAGACCAACAAGGACTACAACAAGACCAAGAAGGACTACAACAAGACCAACAAGGACTACAACAAGACCAACAAGGACTACAACAAGACCAACAAGGACTACAACAAGACCAACAAGGACTACAACAAGACCAAGAAGGACTACAACAAGACCAACAAGGACTACAACAAGACCAACAAGGACTACAACAAGACCAACAAGGACTACAACAAGACCAACAAGGACTACAACAAGACCAACAAGGACTACAAATACATCTGAAAAACTGCAAACAGACCCACAATGAGTTGCAACTGAAACGAGCACAAAGAGACTCCGGCCTCTGCTGCTCTGCAGGGGGTTCTTCATGTCTGTGTGCAGGTCTGACCCCCCCCCCCCCCCTGCATGACAGAGATCAGTGGTTCTTCATGTCTGTGTGCAGGTCTGACCCCCCCCCCCCCCCCCTGCATGACAGAGATCAGTGGTTCTTCATGTCTGTGTGCAGGTCTGACCCCCCCCCCCCCCCTGCATGACAGAGATCAGTGGTTATTCATGTCTGTGTGCAGGTCTGACCCCCCCCCCCCCCCCTGCATGACAGAGATCAGTGGTTCTTCATGTCTGTGTGCAGGTCTGACCCCCCCCCCCCCCCTACATGACAGAGATCAGTGGTGTTAAGGAATAATTCTTCTAGATATCTAACCTTTTACTCTGACATATGTTATCTCCTCTAAGGAAAGGCCTTGGTGCCATATGTGTTGTTGTCCCCAGTGTGAGACCGGTCAACTTGACTGGCACGAAGGGTAATTGTTGTGGGAACACTGAAGCATTTCTTTATCGGTGTTTGTGGGCTCTCGGATGTGAAATCCTTGAGGCCATGAGCGTTGGACGCAGATGATTCAGTGTTTAGTCTACTCCTTCAGAGATGTTGATTTCTGTCTGTGAACCTGTTAAAAGGGCTAGCATAGAGAGAGGTTCTTCAGAATTGACGTGGCAACTCTACCGTGTGGTCAGAACCTCTGACTCTTTGATTTGTGATGCGAATCCTCCGGCCGAATACTCTGAATAAACCCATCAGTGTTTGACATCAAAGCTCCAACTCTCACCGTGTCTCCTTCCTGAGTCGGTGACTCTATGCATTGCTACACAGAAGTTTCCTCCACAAATTGGCGTTGTCGGCAGGATACCAACATGTCTTCAGAGACTGGTAAGTGTGATTTCAAATCTACATTTGGACATTGCCTTACCAGAATCTGTGATTGACGGTATCCTAAAATTATCTGTGAAGCTAAGCGGCTGCGTTTCGTTTTGGTTAATGAACATTTGGGGCTAGTAACCCCAGGGGATCATCCAGGGACTCTGTCTTGGCTGGTTCCCTCTGTGTGTGATGCTCGGACGTATGTGCCGTGCAGGCATACACGGAGATGTTTAAAAAAAACCTTAATGAGGGCAGCAGTAAAGTGGAACTTCTGTGTGAAATCAAAATAGAGATTTGTAATGAACAAATCGCAGAGATTCCGGGGGTTTCAGCGGCCAACACTAGCAGTTAACTAAAGCAGCCAGAGATATTACCCCCAGCGCCTCTAAAAAAAACACGGCTCCAGCTGCGGCTCCGGGTGTGTGTGTCCTCTGTGTGTGCTGCTCGGGGCATGTGTGCCGCACAGGCAGCCGTTTTGCTGCTCGGGGCATGTGTTCCGCACAGGCAGTCGCAGGGATGCAAAATACCTCCCCGTATCTGCATGGGCTGGTGAAGTGAACTAAGAGGGAGAAAATCACAGCTTTTGTCTATAGCTTTAACTCACACCACCGCCGTCTCTATTAAAAACGAGACTGTTTAAAAGCACTCTCGTGGCTTGTGGCCATTTACATTCAGAGGTGTGCTGGCAGGTGCGAGGTGCGTGCATTACCTGATGCGACAGGCTCCCTACATTGCTGAGGAGCTGATGTCGGTCCGGGGTGCATACATAAAATGATAGGCTAATTGATCATGGGTGGGCAGTGGTATGCAAGTGTAGAGCAAAACTGTGTTTCATCGTTGGGATGAACATGATGGGAGGTGTGTAGGCTGGTCGAGTAGGACTACAGTTAACTGTGTGGTTTCGGATAGAAAGGGTAGAGGAAAAAAGTCTATGTGCTCCAGATCGGGGGGGCATAGCACCACTAAAGCAGGGATAGTGGAGTCGCAAGAGGATAAG